ACGTCCACGTCTCATCCTGTGTCAGCCACATGTTTTCTAACTGTTGTAGAGTCAGCCTTCAGGGCCTTCTCTCCGACTTTAATGTCAAGCAGAGAAAATCACAGAGTCCATTCATCTCGGCCCTCTCCTTTAATCTCCTTCCTTTCCTTAGCATCAATAGCGCCCTGTTTATTTTTCCACAATCACAGTCACTTCCTGTGCCTCCCTTGGCTACGCTGTAGGCGTCCCTGCGCTGAATATCAGGAGGGATGCACCTGCACAAGTCTGGGGAGATGGAACTCTGACGAGAGACCGAGTTTTGTCCCAGGCTTGGCTGGTGAGGCCTGTCTAATTGGAATCCGAGCTTGTTAGCAGAAAGTACTAATCCCTCTCATGTGCTGTGCAGTCAGAAGACAGTGTCTCATTAGGATCGCTCTGCTGGGTTTCTTCTGAGAAAAGGATGGCACTCTCTTCCCATCTGCCCCGGTAACCGGCAGTGGCTTTAGCCCCCCTGCTCCAAACTGAAAGCCATGTCTAATGAACTGTCACAAACACGGTTAAACCAATCAAGCAAAGGAGCAACTAAATACAGTTACACTGAGGTCAGACAGGTGTTAGGACTGGTGTTCCCTCAGGCAGATTAGACTAATTCAAGGCAGCATTTAAGATGTCTCCAGACCTCCTGACAAAACCCCTCAATCTGAGATCACACCTAAAACATCCTTATTGCAGTAGTACTGTATATAGAAGTGAATGTGCTAAGTGGGCAGCAAAAAGAGATCAACAGAATGTATGGAAGCCTGTGTTAGCTGTGCAAAGGCTAGCCTCTGCTAGCATGTTTTGTAGCTAAACTAATCAAAAATCGACAGATGCTGAAGGCGTTTCCTGACTTTGAGAGCACGGCACATTAACAATAAACAAAACAAAATTGACTTTGAGAGCACGGCACATTAACAAAAAACAAAACAAAAAAAAGAAATAATAAAAGCTAATAAAATGCTAAAGCCCGGACCACTGATAACATGACACATTCTTTAAGGGGTCTCCTGTTTTCCATTGTTCAAAATGTCAAGCCAACGTCATTTTTATAGAATTTTATTAATTCTAAATTGACTTTAGAGTGTTGACATAAAAAGTATGTGTGATAACTGCGTATGACTGACAGACTTTATATGTTATATCATGTAAAATAGACATTATTTTCTACAGAGAAAGACCTGAAACCAGATATTAGAAATGAAGTCGCCTCATTTTATTTTTCCTTTCTCTTTCATTCATATAGAGTTACTCTGAAAAACCAGCTGAGCTTCTTCACTGTGTAAACACAGGTTGTTACCATGCTACGTCCATTGTTTGTATGGCATCGATATGAATGATAGAATATCATCAGTCACAGTTCACCAAACTACATTTACATACAGTAAAGTGTCCTGACTGCGGCGTGACCTCTGACCTGTAGGCGACTGAGTTCCTTCCTGCTCGTTACTCCTCACTTCTGTTCTCCACACCCACCCTCCTGTTTACACTGCTCCGTACATGCAGCACGGCGTCTCATCCCTGGGCATTCTCTACATTCCTTCTCAACACACAAATGTTTGTGTTTCTCTGCTTGAAGTGCACAGAGGTCGTGCCACCGACGGGAGGGGTCCCGCTGTAGTAAAACCAAAGGACATTCCTGAAGGCATCGCAGCCGTGTGGGAACTGGGCATCTTGACAAGACAAGATCATCTCAGAGAAACGCAGGAAATTCACCTCTTTGTGAACATGGAGCCAGTGCCGATGTAACACAAGACGTGAATTAACAAAATACAGCCTGTCAAGTTTCAACCCAAGGTCACGGCTCAGCTCCATTAGATAACAAAAAAAAAAGACACGTAATCAGATCGCACACACCTGACATCGCCACCATCATCAGAGGGCGCGGCTCTAGATTAAAGGAGATGAATCAGCCCTTTGTGTCCACGTTATTAAAATTGTTATAGTTTTCAAAGGAAACACACGGTGGAGTGGAGGGAGGGTGGGGAGGAGGGGCGCTGCAGGCAGCACGTAAGGATGGATGAGGAGATTACAGTCGGAGGCAGCAGAGGTGATACCTGCAGGGAGGCAGGTGACTGACGGGCTAGAAACAGCAGTGAGTTTAAAAAAAAAAAGAGGATGTAAAGTGTTTACCGCTGCAGAAATGGCAGAGATAAGAGTCTGACACTGAGGCTGTTGGTCAGGGTTACACTCTTTAGGATGTATTTCATATTTATTTACCTGTCATACAGTCTTTCACTAAAGAATGTATAAATATATGTAAACAACCACGGTCATAGTTGTGTAGCTCTCCTCCATACAACAACATTTACAGCAAATAAATCCTGAATCAGTCTTACCTGTTTGGACAAAGAAACCTTAAAAGGCACCATGGAGAAGATCATACTTTAAATATATATATATGTATTTAAAAATATATATGTAGCTGCCGGCAAAAAAGAAAGCAAAGAAAAAAAAGAAGTATTAAGAGTTAAACAGAAAAGTGATGATGGTCCTCCAAATCCAGCAGGAAAAAAAGGTGAGCTGACTTCTGCCTTCAACCATTTAAAAAAATAAAAATAAATTAAAAATGTTTTTTTTTCCCCACAGATGTTGAAGGCAGCAGCAGGGAGTAAATTCTCGGAGCAAAGAATGTATCAGTCAGGAGGAATGTTCAGCCTCTTTCCTCCATGTGAACTGAGCCACTGACAGACGAGGCATGGAGGTATGTGAAACACACGAGGGAGGAGGGAAAAAAGACAGGGCAGTTAATC